GATTAGTATAACTGTGGATGGCTTCTGATTTTTGTTTTTAATTTTGTGGATTGTGTTTCAACAATTCAGAAGTATGTTCCTGATGGTGAGATACTAAGTGGTATTGCACGGTTGTCACTTTATTGAATGTGTACAACAGCCCCGTGAAGTTGATAAAGCGTACCCTTGTATAGCTTCAGGTGCTAGAATTAAAACTGATCTGTTATCACAAGAGAAGGTTTGATGACTTGTTATTTGGGTGGTTTCTCAAAGGAATGAGTGTTGGAAGAAACTTATTTTAGTAGCTAGCCCTGTGCCTTTTCCCAACAGTGCCCTAGGGTTTGAATCTAAAAATCAATATTGGTTATCTGGCAGGTGAACTTGAAGTGAAATGGCTTGGTGTTCTTAGGGGTTTCCTGACTATTAAGTCAGCATTTCTTAAACTTTTTCTATGAAGTGCTCCTGACAGAAACCCCTATATCTAAAGGAGATACCGCTGAAGACAAAGCCTAAAGCAGCTGAGGAAAAGCGCATACATTTATTTGAATACTAATTAAAATTACTGCCCAGGAAGGGCTCATATTTATCCTGTGGGTTTTGGTATTATAGCACCATCGCATATCTTCGTTAGGACTTTCAGTTGGGATTTTTTTACAATGTTTATATCTTTTTATTTTGAGAGAGAGAGAGAGAGAGAGAGAGAGAGAGAGAGAGAGAGAATGTGTGTGCACATGTGTATGAGCTGGGGGAGGGGCAGAGAGAATCCCTAGCAGGCTCCATGATGTCGGCACAGAGCCCCATGAGGGGCTCAGTCTCACAACTGTGAGACCATGATCTGAGCTGAAATCAAGAGTTGGACACTTAACTGACTGAAACACCCAGGCGCCTTGGGAAAAATGTAAAGTTATCATAGGTAACCTCAGATAACAAGAGATTATCTACATAATAGGCAGATTTAATGGAGAACATTTTATTCTGAATAGATGATTTGTAGCAACACAGTTTGAAGGTTAAATTTATATCAGTTGACTTTTTTCCCCTCTGTGTTTCACTTTGAATACTTTTTATTGCTACACCTTCAGGTTCCCTAATGTTTTCTTCCCCAGTTATTTAATCTGCTGTTAATCACATTGAATGAATTTTTTATTTTAGACCTTGTGTTTTCTTTTCTCTTTCCTGTAGAGGTTCTATTTGGTTCTTTTTTACATCATCCATTTCTCCCATTATGCTCATGTATTTCTCTTATCCAGCCCCTCTCAACTGAGTTTCCAGAGAATTGAGCCTAATGCCTGTCTGTGGTGTGCAATGAATTAACTTCTCTTCAGTGCATCTAGAGTAGTTCTAGCTGTGTACCATCCTTGGGAGAATTGAAAAAGGCTGCTTTGAATATTTGAACATGGTTTTTATGGCTCTTTTAAAGTCCTTGTCTGTGGAACTCATTTATCTGTATAATTTTTGGATCTGTTTCTATTGACTGACAAAATTTTCTCTAGTTATGGGTCACATTCTTCTGCCTTTTTATTTATTTATTTGCACATCTAGTAAGTTTTGATTGGATGCTAGACATTGTGTATTTTATGTTGTTGGGTGCCTAGATCTTGTCTTCATTTAAAGATTTTTTTTCCCCTGGTAATTAATTTACTTGTAGTTCAGTTTAATCCTTTCAGGTCTTTTACATTTTATATAGTCTCAAGTATCTTTTTTTTTCCCCCAGGATGGTCTAGCTCTACTACTAAGGTGTGGCCCTTTTGGTGTCTCTACTGAATGCCCTGCATAATCAGTGATGACTCTCTGATTCGGCTAATGGAAACTGAAAAGTTCCCAGCCTTTGTGAGCTCTGGGGAACCATACTATCTATAGCTCCTGGGTCATTCTTTGCCCAGCTCCTGGAGTTTCATCCTGTACATGCATATCTTAGTATCAAGCAGAGACTTGGTGACCCCGGGCATATTTTTGGAGTTCTTTTTTCTGTGTAGCTGCCTCCCCTCCAGAACTTTGTCCTGCAACTTTCACCTGCCTCAAGCTCCTGGTGTCTGGGACAGATCGACCTGCAGTGTCTTTTCAGCTTAGGAAAACAATTATGTCCTGCTTAGAATCCCCCATCCCCTCTTGAATCTGGAATGTGCCTCTAGGCAGAAAGTCAGGGCAATCTTAAGGCTTACCTTTTTGATTCCCCACCATCAGAGATGGTAGTCCTGTGCTGCCTGGTGTAGAATGGCTGAAAACAGGTGTTTCACATATTAACTCCAGTTTTTTGATTGTCTACGGTAGGAGGGTAAATCTGGCTACTGCTACTTCTCTATCAGAAGCCAGAGTCTCTCCCATTTAATATCCATCATACATTCAGAGGTGCCTTGTAGGTCTTGAAATCTAATTTCAAATCTTTTTTCACAAAGAATGGCCAGTCTCATGGCATGAAGAAGTCTTTGCCTGTGGGACCATTTTTTTATTCTATAGCTGGAGGATTGGCAGACTTGTTTTGTAACAGGCCATACAGTTAATATAAATATCATCTTAGGTTTTGTGGGCCATATGGTCTCTGTCCCAGCTACTCATGTCTGCCATTGTAGCACCAAGGCAGCCATAAACAATCTATGAACAAATGAATGTGGCTGTGTTCCAATAAAACTTTATGTGGGGACACTGAAATTTATATTTCATATCATTTTCATGTCATGAAATATTAATCGTCTTTTGAATTAAAAAAATCCATTTAAAATTGTAAAAACCATTCTGTACAAAAACAGATGGCAGATTGGATTTGATCTGTGGGCCACGTTTTGCCAATCTTGCTCTATAGCACATTTGTCATTTGAGGTTACATTCCCAACTTTAGAACCTCTTCTCTCTATATATGTGAAAATTCTTTCAAACAGGATTTCCTGAATTGATAATCATGAATTTAATTTTGTCTCTACATTTGTTTAGGGATTTACAGTATTTCAGGATTGGACATTATGCCCTGTTGGCATACATCTTACATTGATGATTCCTCTAAATTTGGGGCCTCAAAGGTTTGTAATATAAATTGGTTCCTTTAGCATTTGACTTAAAAAAAAAAAAAAATGTTTATTTTCAGAGAGACAGAGGGAGGGAGGAGAGAGAAGGAGAGAAAGAATCCCAAGCAGGTTCCACGCTTTGTGCAGAGCCTGACAGTGGTGCTCGATCTTAGGTCTGTGAGATCATGAACTGAAATTAAGAGTTGGACGCTCAACCGACTGAGGCGCCCTGGGGCCCCTATCATTTGACTTAAAAAATTTGCTATAATGAGGTTGTATATATTTCAGGTCTAGCTTGTTCCTCTTCTGACTTTTCATCACCACTAATCTTAATTTTATTTCTTTTCCCATTCCCGTACATAAAGATCCCATTAAACAGATAACTGGAAGATAATAGGAGGAGATGATAAAGTGGTTACTTTCAATACCGCTTGACCACTTAAGAGTATTTAACCAGTAA